GCAAATGTGAATTTTGGTTCTGACATTTATTAGTTCTCTTTCTTTGGGCAGGTTTATTAGCCTCTCTTTGAACCTTGGTTTCCTCACCTTAAAAATGTGGCTACAAATTGAAGGGTAATTATGCAAACTAAAGGAGAAAATACAGTCTTTCTTAAACCTGGCTGATCATTAGTAACCCACAGAAAGTTAAAATTTCCCAAAGCCATTTCCCAGATCCACTAACTAAGCTGCATCTCCGAGGTTCTGATGACCACCATTCCACCCACTCTAGACACCTTGAATGCATTATCATTTACAAGACCCCATTCTAGGCACTGGGCCCGCAGAAGAGGACAATGTGGAAGTGTTAAGGAAGGAATATTCTTACTCAAGTGTGTAAGAGCAAGGCTGAGAGTGAAATGGAGTGTGGTGTGTTCTGACAGAAGTAAGCAAAGTGATAAGGAGCCTGTGGTAAAACAAACTGAACTGAACTGGCCTGTATTTCTATTTTAACCTTCCGTTTTTTATCGATAGTCACCCCCTCCCCACTTCCACAAACAGACCTCCCAAAAACCCCAGCCAAAGTGATAGACTAGGCCAATGATAGCATGGTAGAAAATGATTTATCAGAACCGTTCAAGTTCCCATCTTTTCTAGATCAATGGTTTTTCTGGAGTTTAACTATCTTGATTCCAAAATAGCAAAACAATCAGTACAGACATTATTTAAGTTTGATGTCAATGGGATATAAGATATGAAGGAAAATAAATTTATAAAAAGTTTCTATAATCTCATTTTCACTTAATATAAATATGCAATAAAAATCAACTGAAAAACTTCTTAAATTTCATTGGGGATGTGTCCAGTGTTTACTGACTTCCTGGCTACAATGATTTGGTCCAAGAGACGGGAAAGTGATCTAAGTTGGTCCAATTAGAGTATTTCCATAACATTTTAATTTTTTTAATTTAAAAAAATTTTTAAAAGATTTTATTTATTTGAGAGAGAGAGAGAGAGAGCGCACACGTGCACATGAGCTGGGGGGAAGGGCAGAGGGAGAAGCAGACTCCTCACTGTGTGCAGAGCCTGATGCAGGGCTTGATCCTAGGACCCTGGGATCATGACCGGAGCTGAAGGCAGACACTTAACCAACTGAGCCACTCAGGCACCCCTCCATAAAATTTTTAAATGAAGGAGGTCTCCTTCCCTCTAGGGTCACTCAATTACAGTACTATAAGCCTGGTACTATTTGGTCCCCAGCTCCTGCCATCTTACCACATCTACCAATAATCCCCATTCAGGCTTAAGTGACTAGGTAGATTAGTGTCTCTTAAAACTAAAGAATCCTACTACAGAACTTTCTGCAGTGTTGGTGAGTTGGAGGTAGGTGGTGGGAGAGGCATGGGGATCTTTGTGGAACAGTTAACGCTAGAGTGGAGTCTTAAAGGAACACAGGGAATTAGCCAGATACTAACAGGCAATTTCAGAAAAATGTGCAAAACCCTAGATTAATGAAAGGCACACAGGTTTGCCAAATAAATTTGTTAAAGAGAAATTCATTGAGCATATTTTATTTGCAAATCACTTTTAGGTAGCGAAGGTAGGGAATGGAGATAGAAAAGAAAATACATAGGACTATAGCATCAAGATACCTTCTAATTACAGTAAACTAGCAATGGCATAATTTTCCCAAGTCAGGTAACACAGTATGGAGAGGTATAAAAAATAAATACTGACGGAAATGGAAGGAGGAATTGGCAAAAATATAAAAGAAAGACCTTTAGAGTACCACTCAATCCCTTCACAAAGCAAGCAGTAAAAATTAGAGGGATACAGGGTCTGGTTTAGTAAGTATAGAATCTAACAGACATAGAATAGTTCTACACCCTTCAGAGACATCTCTTCATGTGCCAATATAGTATCTACAACAACTGGCTGTTAGGCCACCAAGAGAAGCTCAAAAAACTCCAAAAAGTAGAAATAATACTATCTATACTCTTTGATTATAATGTAATAAAATTTAGAAATAAAAGGTAAAATAAACCGTTTTGTTTTTAAACCATTTCAAAACGGCTTTAAATTATCTCCTAAAAATCTCATGGGTGTCTGGTGGTACACTTAGGGCAAAAGCCCACTTCACAGTCTCTACTGAGATAGGATGAATAAAGCTGCAAAAAGAAGTTGCTTCCATCCTAACAATGAAAAAAGGCCAAGTAATCCAAAAAATCATAAATTTTTCCTGAGTCTACCAGAGAGTTGCGTTGTCGCAAGGCAACCAAAGTATGACAACCCCCTCCAAGAAGATACGAAACACATAAACCATTATCTCTGCAAGAGCACAGGAGACAGAGGTGACCACCATACAAATGGGTAAGAATAAATCAGTTAAATTGGGGGGCTGGGTGATAGACATTGGGGAGGGTATGTGCTATGGTGAGCACTGTGAATTGTGTAAGACTGATGAATCACAGACCTGTACCTCTGAAACAAATAATACATTATATGTTAATGAAAAAAAAGAATAAATCAGCTAAAACTTTAATATAATTTTAAAAGCCAAGTGTAGACTTGGGGGGTTACTTTGGAATAAGCAGGAGCCCCAGAAATAAAGAGAATTCACACTCACTAAAAACTTTTTTCCATAGGCCTCCACAAGGTGCTCAGAAAGATGAGGGGCCAGGCAGGAGAATAGAGAAAGCCCATGTGGTAGCACAGGCATGCAGGAAATGACTGGCTGCTGGTGGGGGACAGGCACAAAGCCCCTCCCTCTTCCCCATGTCCCTTCTTTCCTACCCTCTGGCTCTTAAAGCCATTGCAGAAAGTTGTTAGTAAATGTCTATTGAATGAATGAATATATGAAAAATATTATCTTAACAGTTGTCAGCAGAATGTACAATGAAAACAGTTCAAAATTAAATTGTTGTAAATTTCAACACTCATGTACAGTTAGGCAGCAAGCATATTAACAAATACTTTGCCTTACTGCTAATAAAAGAAACACAAGTTTAAGTTTAAATGCTCATGTTCTCTCTCCATGATTTTTTTTTTTAACTATCCTTTCTTCCTTCTTTCTCTTGTAAGGTAGGGATAGCATCTGATGGTTCAAAGAGTCTTCCTGGTAGGCTTGGAAAGATCTAGGTACAGATAAAGTTGGCCAGTCAAGAAAAAGTTAATATTGGCCCTGTCTTTATCTGCTCCCAGAGAGTTTTAGTTTTCCAAACTTGTATTATCTAATGATACTCCAAATTAGACCATAGCCTCTTGATTCTTTCCTATTCATCTGCTTTAACTCCCTAATACTGGGTCATTAGCAAATATCTTTTTCTTGGTACTGTCTTCTCTAGGAGATTCGCCTAGGATTTTTTTTTTTTTAAGATTTTATTTATTTATTTGACAGAGACAGCGAGGGTACAAGTGGGGGAACAGTAGAGGGTGAGGGAGAAGCAGACTCCCCGCCAAGCAGGGAACCCGATGCGGGGCTCGATCCCAGAACCCTGAGATCATGACCTGAGCCGAAGGCAGATGCTTAACCATCTGAGCCACCCAGGCGCCCCGCACCTAGGATTTAAATGCCTCCTTGCTCATATCTATGTGACTAATGAGAAGGTGAGCTTGTAAAAGAGGGGCTTATACTGTCCTGATGGCTAACTTTTTTTTAAATTGAGATATAACTGACATATAAAATTATATTAGTTTTCAGGTATACAATATAATGATTCGATATTTGTATACATTGAGAAATGATCACCAGAAAAAGTATAGTTAATACCCATCACCACACATAGTTACAAAAATTTTTTTCTTGTGATGAGAACTTTCAAGATCTACACTTTTAGCAACTTTCCAATATGCAATGCAGTTATTAACTATAGTCACCATGTTATACATTACATCCCCATTATTTATTCATTTTATAACTGGAAGTTTGTACATTCTGACCCCCTTCACCCATTTCACCCACCCCCACACCCCACCTTTAGAAACCTGTCCTATCTATGAGCTAGGTTTTTTTTTTAATAACATACCACACATAAATGAGATATACAGTATTTGCCTTTCTCTGCCTCACTCATTTCACTTAGCATAAAAATGCCCTCAAGGTCTACCCACGTTGTCAGAAAATTTTTTGATAAAGACTCTTCGTTATAAAAACAATACATGCTTACAACAGAAAAATACAAATTAAAAAAGTCATCTGTATCACTCACTTAGACTTTGCACATAAATGGATAAACACAGAAAGTCTCAAATTTGTGTGATATTTTATATTAATAATTTAATTTTTAAAATGGTTTATCATGCATATACTATGCATTTCCCCCCATTTGGTAGTATTCCAAAAACATGCTTCCATATCAGTGGTTGTATTTCTGCAATAGTTATAATGTCTGCATAATATTTCATTACATAGATGTACCACAGTATCTTTCTTTTCAAAATCAGTATTAGTAAATAATTCTCCACTAAAGGATAAGTAACTATTTCAAATCTTTTAACGATTATTCAAATTAATGAAGAGGAGGGAGCTGTCAAAAAGTTACTCTAAAGTTTAAGCCTCAATAATTAATAATTGAGAAAATGAACTATATAATGAACATCTTCGAATACTATGCTTGATACTCACCAGGGGAAACAAAACTATAATCTGAGAAAAAGATTTTTATGCCATAAGGAAAAGAAAGGAAACGAACACATTTACAATGCTTCTCAAATTGTCCATCACAAATGACCAAGGCTTATGGCAGACCTGGTTTTTTGGATTGATGATATGAATCTACTCATTCATTTTACTTAAGAGAAAAACAGGAAAAAAAATTGTCTGTCATAAGATCAATAAACCCAGAGTGAAAAACAGGTTTCTTCAAACAAATTGAGGATGATAAAGAATTTCATAAAACCCAGAAATTCTTTCTTCTATATATTTTCAAAACACTGAAAATAATAACATGCAGTTTTGAAGGACTAACTTTTCTCCCTAATCAGACTCCTATTATCCTTCTTACAACAACTTACTTACTCACCTTTTAATCTAGCATCACCACCAAAGGCACCACAGCCCCAGTTTCCTGTGGCCACTGCAGAAAGATTCTCTGAAGAAACTCCAGGACGGAGAAATCCACAGTAAGCCTGCAGGATGAAAGGAACATCATAACATGTGAGTGACTAGACATTAACAGTACTTCTGACTGATGTACTAGGATCAGTAGCTATTATCAAGCTTATGTTTTCTTTCTTTTCTTTTTTTCCCTCCTTCCTTCCTTCCTTCCTTCCTCCTTCCCTCCCTCCCTCCCTCCCTTCCTTCCTTCCTTCCTTTCTGGGCCAAAGTAGAGGGAAAAACAGAAAATCCTGGGATTATACAAGAAGCGAGTAAGAAATGATCAATTCTAATATTTATTTGTTTTGATGCTGGACAAATCAAAACCTTTAAACCAATACAGGTCTCAGTTTCTTTATCTGATTCAAATATAAATGGAAATATCAGAGATATTTCAAGAACTGATGGGATCCCAATTACAAACTACCAGAACTAAAGGGAGGAAAGGCACTTAATACATTTCTTTATTTGAAGGCTTCTGATCACCATTTTTTTCCATTATGCTTCCTCAGTACTCACTCTCTGAATTATTGGGACTAGATTAATAACTGTGATTAGCTTTTAAATGTGCTTCCTGCCACGAAATGCTTGATAATGAGCAAACAACTAACCTTTAAGATCCCCTCCAGCTCTAAGATTCTCTGGTTTCACAGCTCTGTTTTAAGCCAGAATATTTTAAAATTCGCTAGTCACCTGAGAAAAGTACAATACATCCTGAGGATGCTGGCTAAGTATTAATTAGAAGAACAGCTTATTTTGTATATGAGAAGACTGCAGTTTAAGGTCCCAGAGTTTCTGTTTTCCATTCTTTGCTGTCAGCCCAGTTGGTCTTTCTGCCTCCTAAGGGTTCTTAGGTTTTCTGAAACTATCAGACTACATTAAAAAGTTTAATATAATAGCAAAGCAAATCTCCCCTGGGTTCTCTCAAGTACCAAACAAAGTCTAAAATATAGCTTATGTATAATAGTAAATAAAATAAAAAGAATGATGTGTGACATATGTTCCCAGAGAAAAACCAAGGATAAAGAAAGATGCTTCTATGAAACCCACACATAAAATATAGTAAATTGCTCTCTAAAGTTTCCACAAAGGTATAAAAATTTATTTTACACACTGTCTGGATAGATTAACAAGGCTATTCCTTCCACCCCCTCCTAGGCTGTAAATCCTGACAGATATTAATTATAAGTTGGTACCAGACCATTATTCAACGCTGTGGTACAGAGCTTACACTAGAACTCACAAATTACCTGTGTAATCAGATGCATGGAGCTTCTGAAAATCTCTTTCAGATCAAAAATATCAAAGAGCTCAATTTTATTTTTTTTTTGAGCAGGTTCTCAAAAGATATAGAGTCTATCTTTATGCCAACAAGGGGGAGAACAAACTCTGTCAGAACAGACATAATTTTGCCACTTGGTTTTCTGTCAAACTCTCCTTAACAGGCCTAGATGAAGAAGATGATTTCTTAGCCTCCTGTTGGGGCTGCCTCTCTTTTATACTGTCAGAAGGGCTTTAGTCTCTTCCTACTGCCATCTCTATATCTGGGATGACTCATCTTTGATGAGCAAACATAGCTTGGTGAAACTAGAGCCTAACAACAGAGAATTTGAAATATTTATATTATTAGGAGAAAAATCTAACATAAAGCGCTAAATCAATTGTACTAAAAAACAAAACAAAAAACCTCCACAACTACTTTGGAAAATGGCCACAACAAAAAACAAACTATAAAACTGACATTAACCTACATTCGGTGTTTTGATCAAAACAAATCAAAACTTTAAAAAGTTAACCAGAAATTAAATGATATAAAACACTTACGAAGTAATTAGGTATAAAGAATAACTGTTTATAATAAATACAAAATTCTTTTATTCTGTTTAAACTAAGCATTTCTAAGGTCAGAAGTAAGAGACAAGCAGCAAGCTCCTCTGAGTCCCCTTTAGACAGACAACCTATGCTTCTCCCTTCTGCAGTAAGGAGAGCGATCCCTCAAATGCTAGAGACCAGAGCAGGGTCACTAATCAGGGAATCATTTCCTTTTACAACAGTAATGAGACCCTTTAGTAACAAATAAAGATCAGATAAGGATAGAGACCTCAAAAGGGTTGCCAAGTTCTTACTTCATAGGGAAGTTCTCAAGAGCTCCATGCTGGCAACAAATACTTTTTTTTTCCCACACCTACAGCCAGAGAACTTGAGGAGATTAATCAGAGCAGTAAGAATAAAAAGAAAGCCAGCCCGAACTCTATAGTTACATCCTGACCTGACATTCACCAATTACAAGGCTATTTATTTTTACTAATAAACAACTTTAAAGAGAAAAAGAGGAAGCATTCATACCTTAGGACAGTAAGTACAGGATACCAATGAACACTTATATCTCAGAATGAATTTTGATGGGAAGGAAGAAGAAAGGTAAGATAAAGGTAATTTTGGAGTCCTGAAGGTCACAAAGGGGAGCTTTGAAAAGCAAGAGACAGGAAGAAAACACTGGTATCTAGAGTTAAAAACTACAGCCCAGGTGGGAAGTGATGAGATAAAGACAGAAATGTAGGACGGAAGCAAAGAAAGTGAAAAAGAAAACAAAGAAAACAATTGTAAAAACCTACAGGCTCAGAACTGGACCCAGGAAATAGAGGGTACTCACAGGAATAGTTGGTCACAAACACTGAGGCATACACATGCATGAACACATGCACACTGAAGTAAGAACTCAGGCTTCAACATCAAGTTTAGCAGGCCCAAGTAGATATAATTAAACTATGTCTTTCATTATAATGTAAACACATTATACTGTTTGCTAGATTAATAATTTAACAATTATTGTTCCTAAAGAGTTGCTTATTTGAAGACAATCCACCACCACTTGTCTAACGTAAACACATTTGGTACCAATACTGATTTTCTGATATCTTAGAATACTGTGATTTCTTAAAAACAAACATAATATTAAAAAATCCTTAATAATCTTTTGGAAAAGGGGCACCTAGGTGGCTCAGTCAGTTGACTGGCCGGCTCTTGATTTCAGCTCAGGTCATGATCTCAGGGTCCTAGGATTGAGCCCCCGGTAGGGCTCCACACTCAGCAGGGTGTCTGCTTGAGGATTTCTCTCCCTCTGTCCCACCCCTCCTGCTCTCTCTCTAAAATAAATATTTTTTAAAAAGAATCTTTTGGAAGAGAATAAAATAATGTTAATCAAGAATCTTAAAAATATCCTTAGAGGGGCACCTGGCTGGCTCAATGTGACTCTTGATCTTAGGGTTGTGAGTTCAAGCCCCACGATAGGCATGGAGCTTACTTAAAAAAAAAAAAAAAATTATCCTTAAAGTAATAAGAATTTTGCAAATTTCTTTTGTTATTTGATTAAATAACAAAGAGGTTTATTACTACATTATGTATAATGAGAGGCACTTAGGACCACCTAATTGTTCAAAAAGAGTAGTTTAATCACAGTATGCCAATGCAACCAGTTTTATGGACATTAAACATATTACTATGAAGATATTAGAAAGTATGAAAAATATTCACAATATATTGTTAAATACGTAAAATACAAAGTTATAGGTAGCTTCTGAACATATTTTTATGAAATTAAATATTCATGTGGAAAGACCTATAAAAATGAAAACTATTTGAAAGGTAGGATCATGAATGACTTTTTCTCTTTAAAATAACTGTAACATTAGTAAATTGATTTTGCTTTTGTTTAAAATGCTATGTAAAATGAAAGAATTGTGCAGACCTTAGTTTCCTCGTGTGTGAAATCGAAGATTGGACAAAGTATATCTATTGTTATTCTGATTCTATATATTAAGAGACTGAAGGAAAAATTCACTAAAAATGACATATTTTGGGCTAATATTCCTGAGAAGTAAAGTGACACATACAGTTGACCCTTGAACAAGATGAGTTTGAACTGCGTGGTCCACTTATATGGAGGGTTTTTTTGGATAAACACAATATAGTACTATAAATGTATTTTTCTCTTCCTTATGATTTTCTTAATAACATTTTCTTTAGCTTACCTTAAGAATACAGTATATAATACAGATAACATACAAACTATGTTTTTTTCTTTTTTTTAATTTTATTTTATTATGTTAATCACCATACATTACATCATTAGTTTTTGATGTAGTGTTCCATGATTCATTGTTTACGTATAACACCCAGTGCTCCATGCAGTACATGCCCTCTTTAATACCCATCACCAGGCTGTTGTCAGTAAGGCTTCCAGTCAATAGTAGGCTATAAATAGTTAAGTTTTGGGGGAGTTCAAAGTTATATGTAGATTTTTGACGGTGCTGAGGGTTGGCATCCCTAATCTCCAAGTTGTTCAAGAGTCAACTGTACTTTAAGAAAATATAAATGATCAGATGTTGAACTCCTCCTCCATTCTAACACTCTCCCAACTAACTGAGCTATATCAGCTACCCTACATGTTGAACTCCTTAGAAATACCAGCAGCTAGTATTGAACAACCATTAAACAAGCTCTGGTTTAATAACCTCTTTCCAAATTTGTTGATGGGTAATACCAAAAAAATCAAGAAATCAATTTAAAAAGGGTAAATGGTGGTGATTTCCTGTTGGGGTGGTCAGTTTGCTTTAATCAATGTCTGATCCAGAAGCCTCTATGTAATATATTCATTACTTAATCTTACTTGAATGAGTCTAACATGGTTTAATATAACTTTTCACAGATGATTTCTTTCTTCCCTTGCTGAGCTATTTGCCACTTTTGCAAGCTGGAGTCATAAATCTTTCCAACTACAAAGATAATTTTCCTCTAGAATGTCACCCAGCTGATCTCTCACAGTATTGCTTCACAATACCAGTTAGATAAAAGGAGGCCAATTCTTCCTTTTAAAAACCAACTCTGTTTGCAGGTCATGATGTGGGTCCAATAGGATAGGTGGAGCCTGGATGGAGCAGACTGTTTCTACAGGGAATAAAACACTTTGTGGGCTTGCCCTTTCAATTATTATCTGATGACTAATGCCTAAAAGTAGCAAAAAAGCCCCTAGAGTTCAGAGATCCACATTGAATTCTGATGGTGAAAACTGGTCTTATGCTCTATTACTTCCTAGAAAAAATGAGTTTTTCTATTCCTGCTCACTTTCTCTCTGGCACAAAAAAAGCAGAATTGTATAAGTCATCTCTAAAGCATTTTAATATAGCTTTAAACCTAAGTTTACAAAACACAGTGAGATGTAAATATTTAACTTAAATTCTCTCCAAGTTGTGCTGTCAGTTTATGTAAAACTCCCTGTTGCTGTACTAAAATTCATACTCTCTTTTAATAGGTAAATGTAACCAATAAATGATGGAATGCTTTTATTTAGAAGGCCCAAAGTTATTTGGATTAGTTCTTTAAGTTGTCGATGACATTTAACAAAATCACTTATTCCTTTCTTCTTTTCCAATGAAAGAATTAGGAAACTAATTCTCAGCTAAAAGAGCAAATGTTTTGGAATCTCGCAGTGAACGACAGACATAATTTATTCAGTGCCTTCCCATAGTGCCGGGCCCTGAACTAGGTGTTTTCTCAATGTTAGCCCATGTACTGATGGGCTACTGTACACCTGTGGTACTTCCTTGTCTTATGGGAATTTAATAAACAGGCTGGGGGGGAAAAGCCCTCAAATTTCCTTAAAATAGTATATCAAACAAAAAAAAGATATTGAGAAAAGCAATCAACTGGAGACTTGCTCACGGTATAGGATTATGATTAAAAGAGAAGAGGTAACCAAAGCATATATGCTTATAGGAGATTGTTAACAAAATGCAAGGAATATTCTTAATGATTTAAGACTTAAAACAGGTAAAAAGTCTGGAAAGACAGACCTTGTTATAGTAATCTCTATGTGGGAGGAGTGACATTTTTAAAAAGTGATTTGAGGGGCGCCTGGGTGGCTCAGATGGTTAAGCGTCTGCCTTCGGCTCAGGTCATGATCTCAGGGTACTGGGATCGAGTCCCGCATCGGGTTCCCTGCTCAGTGCAGAGCCTGCTTCTCCCTCTCCCTCTGCCACTCCCTCTGCTTGTGCTCTTCTATCTCTCTGTCAAATAAATAAATAAAATCTTTAAAAAAATAAAAATAAAAAGTGATTTGAAGTCAGGGGAACCTGGATTCAAGTCCTGACTTCATCACTGCCCATCTGTGTGACGTGGGGCAAGTTATTCAACTTCTTGAGGCTCAGTTCATGATCTCTAAATTGGAGACAAGAAAATTATCTACATCTCCCTGGGTGGTTCTGATTAAATCAGACACTGCATTTAAAGTGCTAAGTAGAGTACCTGGCATATCATAAGCAATCATTTAATGTTATCTATTACTTTTACTATTGTTACTTATATAATTTAAGAAAACTTCTACCTGCACTTGAAAGAAAAGAATCTCTTATGAACTATAAATTAGATTTAATTGTATATTAACATAAATGATGGCACGCTGAAACACAGAAGTACATAACTATCAATCCATCTGCTTCATGTGGTTTTATCTATTCCATACTTGAATCAACATTGGACTTACTGGGCTTTACCTAGCACTTAAAGAATATTTGGGAAATATCTACAAATCTGTAACATTTTAAGTCATTTAAGATAATGTATATCTAAAAAGTTTACCTTAAAAAAACTGTTAGTAATATCTAAGAAGTTTAATTAATCACCGACTAATGCATTTAACAAATATTTTTGAGAAATTTTCATAAGCAAGGCAGCGTGCTTGGCACTGACTGACTTGAATGAAATAAAACTTTGTCTGCTGTTATTTAAAGACTCATTCTTTCTGTATAAAGTGGGTTTCCTATGGACTCTACATTCTACAAATAAATGTTTTCCAATACTTACAACTAAATTAACCTATTCACATTTACCAAGTTTCACCGATAGGTAAATTGAGGTTAGTGCTATATCAGTAAATGTAGAGAACATCAATAGGCCATGGGCAGTTTAAAAAATAAAAGATTTATTTATGCCCAGGGTTATCATTTTAAAAAATCATATTTGCAGATAATTTCTAAAATTGAATGATCTAGCTCCTACAGAAAAGTATTTATGGGAATGTAAATTTTATCCATAAGAAAAAGAACCATTTTATTTGTGTTACTGTATGATTATGATTAAACACATTTCCTTTTCATATATTTCTCTCCAAACTACCTACTGCTTATATAAATGTCTTCTAGTATCAATGACCATGACCATGTGACAAATTCATATAAAACGTGTTTAATAAAGAAGGAACATGTGATAAAAATCTAAAGATAAATCTCATTCTACTTGATATGTTTTATAATAAAAACATCATGTACTTGGAAATAATTGCTTTAAGGCAAGAGTTTGGAACAATGAAAGGCTTACATTTAAAATGTGTCTAATACGAACCATAAGAGACGATGGACTCTGAAAAACAAACTGAGGGTTCTAGAGGGGAGGGGGGTGGGAGGATGGGTTAGCCTGGTGATGGGTATTAAAGAGGGCACGTTCTGCATGGAGCACTGGGTGTTATGCACAAACAGTGAGTCATGGAACACTACATCAAAAACTAATGATGTGGGCGCCTGGGTGGCTCAATTGGTTAAGCGACTGCCTTTGGCTCGGGTCATGATCCTGGAGTCCCTGGATCGAGTCCCGCATCGGGCTCCCTGCTCGGCGAGGAGCCTGCTTCTCCCTCTAACCCTCCCCCCTCTCATGTACTCTCTCTCATTCTCGTTCTCTCAAGTGAATAAATAAATCTTAAAAAAAAAAAAAACTAATGATGTATGGTGATTAACATAATAAAAATTAAAAAAAATAAAATGTATTTAATATAATAAAAGATATTCTTTGTTATAGAATCTCTGATTATCAGAGTCAGGTAAAAGAGACAGATTATACCTGTTGATATACCAAAGAGCAGCAGTCTTTCTGCATAGCTTTTCTGAGGAATTGCTTAAAAAAAATATGTACGCAGTATCTGTTATCTAAGTTCAACTTTGGAAAACAGTGCATTTATTCTTCAAAATTTTTAAGAGATCCCTTTGAGAACTCTAAACATTAAAATAATTAAAATATTCTAGGGCGCCTGGGTGGCTCAGTTGTTAAGCGTCTGCCTTTGGCTCAGGTCATGATCCCAGGGTCCTGGGATCGAGCCCCACATCGGGCTCCCTGCTCTGCGGGAAGCCTGCTTCTCCCTCTCCCACTCCCCCTGCTTGTGTTCCCTCTCTCACTGTGTCTCTCTCTGTCAAATAAATAAATAAAAATCTTTAAAAAAATAAAATAATTAAAATATTCTAATCGACAGGTATAAGAAAACACATTCAACAATTAAATTCTCAGAATATAAGAATAGATCAGAATATAAGATAATATATATAATTATACTCAAAATATATACCAAGTTCTAAGAGAAGCAAAAGCCTCTCTGGATTATTTGGTTGTTTATTTTACTAACTATATGAAAGGCAAGGTGTTTGTGCTAGGATATGCAGAGGACCACAAGAGTGAGACCAGGGAGAACCTGAGGATGATATACACAATGTCAGATGTGCTACTGCAAGGGCGTTCCCAATCCCCTTGCAATGGTACACCCAGTCTGCTGTCATTATCCAAAGTCTATGTAGAGACTGGCACACATGTAGCCATGCAATTATCTTAATAAACAATCTCATAATCAAATATGACTCATGCGAGTTAAACAATGGTTTTCAGATTGGGTCAGTCTTCTTGGCTGTAAAAGATCTAAAGAAATTATCAACTGTTTTGGTAAAGCCCTAAATTTAGAGAATAGAATCAGTACTCCACTGTATGGTAAGAGTTTATTTACTTTGGTTAGCAGTAGTGAAAATCTGAATAATAGGCATGGCTCATTTTCATATTTCTGAAATACAGTTAGAAAAAATGATTTAGTAGACAGCACTAAGCATCACAGAAAATCACAGATTCCATCATTAATATGCCAAATTACCTAATCAATAAACGATTTACATGTGAATCTTACCTATAAGAGAACTTAACTTTTATGGTTTATCTGTATTTAACCCTGATGGCATACCTTGTAGAGACGTCACTGAAAGGTGTGACAAAAATTTGTTAGCGCTCATTCATTTCTATATGGTTTTACAATAATAATGTTCCAAAGCAAGTAAAAGTATTTGATGAGCTAAATGCATGTGTGGGGCTTAATATGAAGCAACAGTCTATCTGGCATCAGTAATCAAGCAATTACGAAATGGAAAGTACATCTTGTACACGCTGACAGACCCATTAAATCAAGAGAGCTGTGGGCAGACATAGTGACACTGCAAGAATTACCAGAAAGCATTAATTTCAGCATTAATAAAATGGCAGTAAATAGATGACAGCTGCCAGATGAACTGAGAAATGAGGTTACTGGCCTTGTTAAGCTCTCGTCTGATTTTCTCGGGCACAAACTGGTCGAGGTAGCGTCTGAAGTGAAGGGCATCGATGGCGACGATCTCAGTGCCGCGCCGCTGCCAGGCATCCCTGGGGCAGGACGGAAGGGGGAAGACGATGACTGGGGGAAGACGATGACTGGGGAAAGACACTCACAAAACGTAACCCTTGTGAGGTGGGGTTTCTAGGAGTCTGGCAGGGCTAAAATATTAAAAACAAACCAACAAACCAACAAACCAGTAGCTACAGGTCTCAGCAAAACAAGAGGGCAGAAAACCACATCTTTATATTTCAAGGCATACACATAATGGACTACTAGGCATTAAAGAGTAAAACAAAAAATTATCAAGAGATGACAAATATGACAGAGTGGAAACAGATACATCATTTACAGTGAGTCTCAGAAGTTAAAGGATTTGGGGGCAAACAAAAGGAACTTCGTTCTTGGTTTTCCTCTAATACTGAAGACATGGCATTTGTATCTTGACAAAAGCCAAAAAAAATGCTCGTTCTTCCTTTGCTTTGAAAGACCTGTTTTTTGGGTCTTGGGTTTATAACATCACCATCTACCATCCAAAACATAATCCCAACAAGTGTTAAAAAAATGTGTCATGATTCAGCACAACATTCTACCTACTGTGCTCAATTGCTGATGGTGTGAAACTGTTTTTTTTTTTAAAGATTTTATTTATTTATTTGACAGAGACAGAGACAGCGAGAGCAGGAACACAAGCAGGGGGAGTGGGAGAGGGAGAAGCAGGCTTCCTGCTGAGCCGGGAGCCCGATGTGGGACTTGATCCCAGGACCCTGGGATCATGACCTGAGCCGAAGGCAGTTGCTTAACCAACTGAGCCACCCAGGCGCCCAGTGTGAAACTATTTTTAAAAAGACAAAGACAGTAAAGCAGATATTGCCTGTGGAAATAGGAAGGACTGGGTGAGATGACTTTGGCAATGTGAAATTCCAAATATTCCAATACTCCCTTTACAGACTTGCATAAAGTGACATGCCAAGCAACTTTTCACACTGAAGAAAGGCAACAGAAACCTTCATGTTAGTCTGTAAATAATTATCAGGAATTAAATATCCACATAGGTAATTGTTACAACCAAATATTTTAACCAGAACAAAAGGGAAGAGAACCAGGGGCCGGACTTGAGATATTACAAAGAATAAGCTGGCATGGGTAGATGGGCAATTACTGATTCTAACACAACTGCGCTTTTTCATTAAGGCATGTACACACCCACAAGTGCTTTCAGGTATCATTTCTTTTTGTTTTTTCTTTCTCCAAATTTTAATTTAAATTCCAGTTAGTTAACATACAGTGTAATATTAGTTTCAGGTGTAGAATTTAGTGATTCATTACTCACATACAACACACATCATTAGTTTTTGATGCAGTGTTCCATGATTCTTTGTTTGCGTATAACACCTAGTGCTCCATTCAATACGTGCCCTCTTCAAGCTCATCACAAGTGCACTCCTAATCCCATTACCTCTTTAACCCATCCATCTCTCTCCCCTCCAGTAATCCTCAGTTTGTGCTCCATAGTTAAGAGAGTCTGTTTTCTGGGACACCTGGGTGGCTCAGTTGGTTAAGCATCTGCCTTCGGCTCAGGTCATGATTTCAGGGTCCTGGGATCAAGCCCCACGTTGGGCTCTGGGGAGTCTGCTTCTCCCTCTGTCTGCCTCTCCCCCCTGCTTGCGCTCTCTCTCTGACAAATAAATAAACAAAATCTTAAAAAAAAAAAAAAATCTGTTTTCTGATTTGCCTCTCTCTTCCCCACCTGTATTCATTTGTTTTGTTTCTTAAATTCCACATATGAGTGAAATCATATGGTATTTGTCTTTCTCTGACTGACTTATTTCACTTAGCATCACATTCTCTAGCTCCATCTATGTCATTGCAAATGTCAAGATTTCGTTCTTTTTTATGGCTGAGTAATATTCCATTATATATATATGCCACATCTTCTTTATTCTACGATCTAGCAACTGTACTACTAGGTATCGTTTGGATAACCAAACGATACAGAAATACTGATTTGAAGGGATACGTGCACCCTGATGTTTATAGCATCATTATCAACAGTAGCCAAATTATGGAAAGAGCCCAAATATCCATCGACTAATGAATGGACAAAGAAGATTTGGTATATATATATACAATGGAATATTACTCAGGCACCATTTCTATAAAAGTTTACCCCCTAAAAGTTCACGAGGAAGCATATATGTCAAAGTATAAAAGCATTTTTCAGTAAGAAATAGGAGACTTCAGCAAAGTTTACTGTAGGTCATGCTGTTAACCGTCCTGTGGCATTAGGCAAACTGTCCCAACATGTTTCCCCACCTATTTAATCTCACAGAAAAATTAAGGATAAATAAGCTGGTTAAAGGCTTTATGCTCTAATAAGAACCTATTCTAAGTAAGTTTGGCCTTGGAAGCTAACCTCCACTGACTGCTTACATTTGGTAGCTGACAGGTAAAGAACAAGAGTTCCACCCTTATTTTTGGTTTATACTTTTGGCTTTTATTTCTCTGTTCTTCCCTTTTGTATATGGAGATGGTAATACTAGTTTAACTACCAATGAACCTGTAATACTGAACTTTAAACAACAGTTACATTTCCAAAGTAAGAGTAGATGGAAGACAGAATGTACTAGGTCAAACCCACATTCCTTAGCTTTTGGTCATGCAATACTCAAGTCAGAAACGAACTCACCTTTCACTTCCATCTTCATGGCTTCGGGCCCAACGATATGTTTCAGCATAGCCTGTGTATTCACTGTACTGTTCCGTACCTGAAACAAATAATCTGCTGTTATTTTTCAGAAGGATTTTTCTTAAAAGCTTGAAGAGGGCACATATTGAATGGAGCACTAGGTGTTATACGCAAACAAAGAATCATGGAACACTGCATCAAAAACTAACGATGTAATATATGGTGATTAACATAACATAATAAAATTAAATTAAAATAAATAAATAGTTAAAAAAAAAAAAAGCTGCATGCTCTGGGTCTTTAGAGCGGGAGGAGGGGCAGAAGCAGACTCCTCGCTGAGCAAGGAGCCTGACATGGCCAATCCCACCTCCGCCCTCATCAGATCATGACCTGAGCCAAAGGCAGACGCTTAACCGAGTGGCGCCCCCTAAAGGGACTTTGTTAATAAACTTAATCCTCATTTCTGGAAATACCTGTTGGCAAATGTCAACTGAAAAAAAACCTCACTGGTCTTAATGTCCTATTATTTTCTATAAGGAAATGACACCTATAATGACACCTATAAAAGCCACTGCAATGTTTATCATACAGAGATAAATGTCTCAATCAACAGAGAAAACAAAATATGCTCTGTCATATTAATGTCTTTCATGAGTGACAGACTGTTTTATAAAGGTCCAATGTCTTCAATATCAGTAATCTGATGGTAATATTTAGTTTGTATTGTTGAGAAAGCAATTTTACATAAAGACATTCCCTGCTAAGAAAAGTATCATTAAAATTAAATCTAGGACTTGCCTATCCATATGCAAGTTACTTCAAAGGGCTTTGTAAACCAGAATACTGTGACAGAGAAGGCACGGGGACTAAAGCATAATTAAAATTCATCTGATGAGAACATGCACCAAGCTTGCCACATAACAAAGATTTCTACTTTTTTTTTTTTTAAGTTTTTATTAAGTAATCTCTACACCAAGTGTGAGGCTTGAACTCACAACCCTGAGATCAAGAGTCACATGCTCCTCAGATTGAGCCCACCAGGAGCCCCCAGAGATTTCTCCTTGGACATACCAGGAGGGATAGTGCCAAAAGTGTCCTACTGCTTAACTAAATAAAATCATTCCAATTCCTATGGTCAACTCAATAATTAAACTTTTCAAGAATCAGGTGCCTGGGTGGCTCAGTTGGTTAAGCGACTGCCTTCGGCTCAGGTCATGATCCTGGAGTCCCGGGATCGAGTCCCACATCGGGCTCCCTGCTCAGCGGGGAGTCTGCTTCTCCCTCTGATCCTCCCCCTCTCATGCTCTCTGTCTCCCATTCTCTCTCTCAGATAAATAAATAAAATCTTTAAAAAAAAAAAAAAACTTTTCAAGAATCAACAAAACCGTAAAATGAAAAGCTGAAAACCCTGAGCAAGATAATACTTTTCACATATAAAAAAGAAATTAAAAAAAAAGAATAAACAAGACAACACTGACAACTAAGAGTAGTGACTTTTTTTTTTTTTTTTTAGTGCAATTGCCCTAAATTTGCCGGTAAATAAAATGCAAGCAGACTGACTTTTTCAGACAGCTGAACACTACTTATTAAAATGACTATTCATCCAGTAAAGGTCCAATACTGAAGATATTTGTGACAAAGACTTAATATTAGGGGAAAAATGATACTAGAATATACAGTATTTCCAAAAAATATATATATATTTAAAAATAGAAAACAGGGGCGCCTGGCTCAGTCAGTAGAGGATGACTCTTGATCTCAGGGTCGTGAGTTCAAGCCCCAACTTGGGTGTAAAGATTATTTAAGCAAACAAACAAACTTTAAAAAAAAATAGAAAACATATTTAATAAAAATAAAAAGAACACAAAATCAAATCACGACATGCTAATTATGAACTGTCAGTTCTTCATCCAAAAGCAAATTATTTTCATTTTTGGGGTCAGGTTAACTTCTTACATGTTACTTAAACAACTTGAAGCTTTTATACACAAAGATTACTAAATGTAGTGAACAAGACTGCAAATGGCCTCAACATTTATTAACTTATAGATAGATAACTGAGAAACATGTTAAATATCACCATGAAGATGTAATCAGCAACATTCAGACCATGGGAAACTCTACAGGACCAAAAGTCTGGGCTGCTTACAAAAATTATAAGGAAAAAAAGAGAGCAGAACCTATAAACTAAAAGAAACAAACATGAAAACACTAATAAGAAAGTGAGGGTAGTTATATTAATATTGGATAAAACAAATTTGAAGTCAAGGAGTATTATGAAAGAAAAAGAGGAACACTTCATAATGATAAAAGGGTCAATTCATCAGAAAGACAACAATTTTGCCTTTATTTTGATTTCACATTTGAAAAATAAATGAAATCCATTACATTAATAGGTTAAAGAACCCCACATAATCCTAACAAAAGTTGCAGAAAAGATAAAATTCAACACCTACCATGATTAACACTCTCAATAAAACTGAGAATAAAAAAAAGGAACTTCATCAATCTGATTAAGGACCACTACATGAAAACTTACAACTAACTTCATACACAGTAATGAAAACATTCCACCTAATTCAACACTGTAGTGAAGTCCTAGCCACCATAATAAGGCAAAAAAAAAAAAAAGAAAGAAAGAAAAATCAAAAAGAGTATAAAAAAGTAAGACTATCCTTATTTGCAAATGTCATGACTATTTATGTAGCAAATCCTAAGGAATCACCAGGAAATGAAAGAAAAAAAGAAAAATTATAGAAAAGAAAGACAAGCTCATTAATAAATATATCAAAGATATGTCTATATAATAGCAGCAAACAGTGGGAAAATAAAACTTTCAAAAATCCATTAACCAGAGCATCAAAAACAATAAAATACTTAGGAGTAAATGTAACAAAAGATATAGCAGACACCACTGAGAAAAAGTAAAGAAGATTTAAATAAATGGTAAGATAGACCATCCTCAGGGGTTGGAAGACTCAATATGGTATTTCTCAATATTGTAATCACAAATATTCCTCAATCCTTTTGATATTCCTAGCAGACATTAAAAATAGTAATCGAGAAGGCGATTCTAAAATTTATATGGAAATGCAAAGAACCTAAAATAAGCAAAACATTTTTGAAAAAAGAACAAAACTGGAGGATTTAAGTATCTGAGTTCAATATTTACTTGTTGTGACCTAAGGAAAGACCAAGAGATCAACTGAACTAAACAGAATTCATAGATAAATCCACACTTGTATGGTCAATTGACTCATGACAATGGTGCTAAAACAATCCATTGGGGAAGGAAGGGATAGTTCTTCCAACATATGTTGCTGAAACAATTAGCTATTCATATAGAAAAAAACCCAAAAACTTCAATTGCTACCTCACACTATGAACACAAATTACTCTGAAATAAAATAAAGGCATTAACATAAAACCTAAAACTATAAGACTTCAAAGAAAACATGGGAGAATGGCTTTATGACACTGGGGGTACATAAAGATTTCTTAGACAATAAAAATATACAAACAACCCAATTTAGAAAAATAAGCAAAAGACTTATACATAACCATCACAGAGGAAGATAAACAATTCTCTACTAACTACATGAAATACTGCTGAATAACACTAGTTATAAGAGGAATGCAAATTAAAACCACAGTGAGATACCACTATATACCCGACAGAATGGGTAAAATCAAAAAGAATGACAACACTAAATGTTGACAAGGATGTCAGCTGAGCTCCACGTAACAGGTTTGCTATTTGCAGTGGCATGGCTTAGAAGTTCTGAAATCACCTTTTCTGTATTCTAGGTTTACTCAAATAAGAAAAGAGGAAGACTAGAATTTATGTTGTGATGTTACGTGGCAATGGGAGGTAGCCATATGAATCCAGTTGTTTATATGTATATGCATGTGTGTGGTTATATCATATATGTCCTGGGTCTGTCTGATGAAGGCATAGAAGCAATGACACCCTTCATAGCAATAAGCATACTGAGTATTCAAATCTTGATTTTTTTTTTTTTAGACAGAGAGAGAGCGTGAGCGAGGGGAGGGATAAGGGGAGCGGGAGACAAACAGAACCTCTGCTGGGTGGGGAGCCTGACATGGGGCTCAATCCCAGGACCCTGAGATCATGACTTGAGCCAAAATCAAGAGTCAGATGCTTAACTGATTGAACCACACAAGCACCCCTCAAATCTTGATTTCTAAAAATTACTCTAAATCCAGGACTCCTTGGAGAGAGAGATGATCTAGAGCTGGGGCAGGGAATATACAAGATGAGCTTAGAACTCTTTTAATGCCAAAAAAGGGGAAAGTGCATTAAAGAATGATGGGCAAAGGAACACAACAGCTAACACTGACAAAATCTGGAACACTATAGCATCAGAACATAATGGATTGTACTGTAATGGACTGTAATGGCAGTAATGGATTATAACACATTGAATAAAATAAGAATCCATGTGACTATATAAATATTAATAAATATACATAAATAAGAGAGAATGGAAAATCCTTCCTTAGAGTGCCAACTACTAAATGCAGGAGGAATGATGGAGTTAAGAAAATGGGTGCTAAAATAGTGGGTGAATGTTTGATGAGGAAAGAATATTTACAGTTTCAAAATGTGAAATACGTAACTACAGATTAATTACAAAGGGAAAAGACTAACTTGAAAGTGAAGAAACTTGGCAGATCCCACCTTAACCAAATCATGACAATTTATCATAAACACTGAGACAAAGTGGTATTACTGTTCTCCTCAAAAGATACATTAGAGCAGGACATATCACTTCAGTGGGATTTCTATCAAAATGAATAAACTGGGGACGCCTGGGTGGCTCAGTCGGTTAAGCGTCTGCCTTTGGCTCGGGTCATGGTCCCGGTGTCCCAGCATCAGACTCCCTGCTCAGCCAGGAGCCTGCTTCTCCCTCTGCTCCTCACCCCACTCGTGCTCTCTCTCTCTCTCTCTCTCAAAAAAAAGAATAAACTGAATCTAGTTACAAAGAAACATTGGGCAAACCCAAAATAAGAGACAATTTATCAAGTAATTGGTTTATATACTTTATTTTTTTTTAA